GGAGTCATTGAATAAGGAACGAATTGATTTCAATTGGTGAAATAAGGGTCGAATACTGTCAAAAATGTGTAACATGGTAATGATGATAATTAAACTGATGCATACAAAATGAAGTGAAATGAAATCGGTAAACTAACCAGAATGAATTATTAAGACCAAGGCAGTGGAAAGGGGTTCTCTAAATACTTTTGAGTGCAAAGTTTCGGCTTTTGTCTATGTACAGCTAGTGCCTCAGGTATGCATATATGGTGGGGATGTAGACCTTTGGAGTTGTTCAATTTGGTTTTTTAAACTTCTTTTAAAAAACGGATCTTGAAGAACTGAATGACTTGATTCCATTCGGTGTTCACGTATGGATGAAGTTGTTTTCCACTCACCGACTAACAAAACCGAGTAGTATTAGTACTTGGTTGCCTGGTGGATAATGCTCTAGCGTTTGAAGCGATCGGTGTCGGTTTCGAGCCTTAGTGGGAACAACATCGCTTACTGGGAGGCAGGTACAGTGAGTCGCAGGTAGGAAGAAACGCGCATCTTGGATCCCACTGCTAGCTAATATCCATCATTAATATAAAATTAAAACAGGCAATATCGAGGCATCTGCGCGGTAGCCTATTTACCAATAGAGACCGATCAGTTCGCTCCAATCAACGACGGGGTAATACCAGTAACGACATTAAAAACGGGGTGTTCTGAAACTCGTCTCCGTAGAGCCCGATTACAACCTCCAATATAGTCAGCAGCACAGGAGCATCTGAATTTGTAGATCCACATATATGTGGACATAAGCGACAGTTTATCTTCCACGCATTGTAGCGTCAAACTGCATCTAGAAAATACCAACTACAGGGTAGCAGAATAGAGGGTACTACTGATACATGTCGAAAGACGGCTCTTCAGCATCTTACCTGTGGCATCCCCTTCGGTTTTCAAATTCAAGATTAGGATGGTCTTTGGAGCTGTAATAGGGTGAGGTGTAATTCGTTTTTTAAACTTGTTATCCATGATTCAAGTCAAATATCAAAACTCTTAAGAAAACTGAAAGATGAATCCATAATTATTTGTGGTTGTCTCAAGAAGATTTCTCCCTTCTTATGACGACTCGGTGATTAAAACCAGTCAGAGGGGACCATATATGATTCCCATACTCTAGCTAACGCTTCGGGTAACCTGACCAATAGTCGACGACTGCCATTCTTAAATACCTCCGTCACTAGCCTATCTAGCCATACTGACGTTAATCGTTTCAAGTTATTTACGACCTCAATTTCAGAACGGGTTGAGAGGCCAATCTCAGTGTTCTACTCAGGGTTTGACTGTATAGCTGGCAACGGAATAGTAGCTGGAGGTCAGTTGAACTATTTCTTAAGGTGTTTCTTCCATCGTTCCAGTAGACTCCTCTGAGAATGAGTCTCCGATCCATGCTTCTGGGCTATAGTCTCCCTAGCCACTGACCTTCATGCACTGGTTTCTTTGATAAGTCTGCCTATCGCCGCCGTTATTTCCATCTCTTTGACTTTCGCTGCCCACCACTGCTCTCGGTCATTACATAGACTTCTTGTCAAGCTAAATTTGTGTTACATTCACTCCTGCAAGATGTTCATAGGCATATATCAATTACAGGGAAGATGCTGAGATCCATTGGCACTTTCTGAGAGTCAACTACGGTCTTCAGCTTTGTTTCTACAGCAGACTGGAAGTGGCTCCCGGCCTCTCTTAGATAAGTAGTGTTCTATTCCGTTAATTGTATAGCCAGTTTCTTGCTGAAAATAGCTGTGGTATTCTCATGGTCGAGCTACGCTGGCAATGGTCTTGTGTCTGCTGTTTCTGCACTTTCATGTAGATACAGACAAGCATGTTCAAGCCAACATTTTTACGCTCTCCAAACGCGCACTTCAGAAGGAACGGCAATCTGTCTGCGATCATCCCTGGCGATAAGTGGCAGCAATATAATTTCTCTGTGTCCACCATTTTGTTGGGATTCAGGCAAGCAGTGGACTTCCTACCTTAGCACTTAATGCTATGCTCACGGCTGCAAGATTCGAAGAACTAGCTATTGGGTCTTCATACACTGGGATGATATCTTTTGCGAATTCCCCATGCTGACCACGTGAAGGTAAGTGAATAGTCGTACTTCAGTCCTGTGCGCATGTCTCAGAAATAGCACCACTTCATTACCTGACAAGTCAAAGTTTTGAATAGCGAAGGTTGTTGTCCAATTCGATGAAAGGTACGGACATTGAGAACTCTAGTATTCAGTTTAGACTGGTTTGAAGAGACATAGAAAGCTATTCTGTGAACCAGAATCGTTATCGAGAGCTGTAGAGCTAAGAGAAATAAAAAATAACGTAGGTCTATTGACAGAGACGTAAAGATTAGTAATAAGGTAAAAATATGGAAGGTTGGTAATGATCTGATGGGACTCGAGTGCTGACAAAGTTGAGGGTGGTTAACACTTCTCAATTCCCAAAGTGTGCAAGATTACCTCTGCTTAAGAATCCCAAGAAAGAAATCTGATTAGTAGTAGTGGTGCGTGACCACAGAACCCAGGGGATATCTGCTTGAGGCTAGTCACACACGGTGCTTTAGAAGTTTGAGGTTTAAGTTTGTTTGTTTTAAATCTAGGAATAGATCCATACTGCCGACAACAGAATACGGCAGACTAGGTGTTGTAGGCTGTTTTCAAGGGTGACATTTCTTCAACCCGTATTTTTATGGAGAAAGCAGCATCAGCGTGGCGCTGCTGGTCATCTACGAGATACACCTCACTCCTATCACACTCGCATCCTAGCAGCAGTACGGCTGTACCCTTGAACGTCCTTCTTGATGTAGTAATTAACGAATCGAGTCGAGCAGTAATCCCTTCACCAACTTTCTGCCCATTTGTGTAGTGGATAATGAGCTGCACATATTGTGATGGATAATGATACTACTTAGTTGTCCAGACCTCGGTAGGTGGAGTTGGATTCGAACTGGGGATCAGTCGGTTGGAAATCAAGTGCTTAAACCAATGAGCCACAGCTGAACTTCGTAATTATCCCCTGATGGTAATTACTTAATCTTACCAGTATTCGAAGACTTATCTAGTATGACTTCAAGGGAGCAAGTGTAATACATTGGGTCATTGTGGTATCCAAGCCCAACCGACACGTTAGGTTAGTAGCTATTAGAGGGTCATGTTAAAAATACCATCTTACAACTACATGGGTTTCTTACCGGTGGTTCCTGCTTGACTAAACCCGGCGAAACTGCTCATAGCTTTGTTACTTATTGATAAAATTTCACAAAACTGGTGAGGAAGACGGTTATTTTTGGTTTCGACAATAACCATGATGACTAGGTTTACCTACCGTGATGACCAAACGGACTACGTTAGCTGAAATGAATTTACAGTCCAGCCTTAATAAGTTGTTATGAATTTTCATCAAAATTGGTGATTACGTGGTGTCCGCGACTTATGCCCTCTGTTTAACTTTGTTATAGATATAGTAATGGATATAATTTTAGGTATGTTAAACTTCATAGAGATTGACCTACTCCTCGGACGGCATCCCACCAACGTGGAGTACACAGACATTGTCATCGTAAATGAAGGTGCTGACAAAATCCATGGTCTTTTTAACGCATTAGACAGAAATCTAAGTATGTTTGGCGTGCGCTTCGCACCTGTCGAATGCAGGATGATGCTTCAGGACTGGTCTGCACCTACTCGCAGTTTAATGATAGCTGGTGAAGTGGCAGCATGCGTTGACCACTTCATTTGTTAGGGTAGTTGCATCCGCCTGAAGACCTTAGTTACTGACGGAACCTCAGCTCGGATACAAAAGGTGGGTTTTGGCATTTACTAACTTGCATCATCTCTGGCACCGGAGAGATATTTGAATACCTCGTAGACGGTGACTACACTGCGCTATATTCCGTTCTGCCCTTATTATAGAGCTATGAGACAAGGCCGTCGAAAGGATTATGGGTTTTTAACCGCAGGTGTCTTCATAGCATCGCTCATGTATGGTGTAACCACTGTAAGTATTAGCAAGGTTAAGGGGACGGAACTAGGCAAGGCAGGCAGGTCAACCGCCGGTGTTATGAAGCTTCAGTGACTGAGATGTTCTGAACATGAACTGCTCACGCCGAGCCGACGTTTACTTAGACGTGCGGATGGTAATTAAGTTAGGATTTCGTTGGAAAGTGGGTAAGGGTGGCTGAACCAGCACGTGGTACTACCCCTTGTAGTCTCTAATTGTTGGTCTGAACTATTTGGAGGTGTAGACTACTTGATTGGGTTCTTCAATACGTCAGAAATGTGCAGTTAGAGAATCTTAGTGATATGGGTCAAAATCGATCGTGCTGGTGCATATGTATAAAGTCCTTGTTACCTTCAACGTTTTCTGGAGTTGTGGCTTATTGTTTTAACGATTTGACTTTTAACCAGTGAGTGTCGGGTTCGAACACCACTCCATCTACTAAGGTTAGGGAAACCAGGTAGTAACATTATTAATTGTTACACAGTAGGTATGGCTGATTGCCTATTACACGAAAGTGTACAAGGTTGTTGAGTTTCACGCCTTTGAAATCTTGATTATTTTCACTAGTCTTCACTTATTTACTCACTCAACTCCCATAAACTTTTGTCTGCTTTAAAATCCCTTTTTCTATCCATTTCTTCTCTACATGCTTTTGTGATTCGCGGTATACTTAGCCGATTCACTTCTGTGGGAAGTTTGCTTCAAGTTATCTGCCTGTCGATTGAGAAGACTACTGTAATGTTGATGATTTTATTGATAATATTTCAGCTCAGCAATCTCGTAGACGTTTCTATAGTAGACTTCGCAATATAACTTTCTTATATGCTTGCGATACAAATTTTTTGACTAATGTGGTGTCGGTTCTTGCCATGATGATGATCAGTTAACCACGTCTCATCATTTTTAACAAGGAAACTAATCATTGTCACAGTAGTTATCGCTCACTGTTAACACAATCTGGTTGTCTTTTTTTTATAGCTTCATATTCTCAATGGTGATGCTGTATTACCTGAATCGTTTATCTCACGAAACTTACCAGAGCAAGGAGCAATCAAACGCAATGAATTTATCTCGACGAAAGAAAGACTGATGTTCTCCTAGGAGCTTGTGATCGGTAGAGCTTTTCACATGGGAAATGTATAATTTTCATATGTGCTTTCATATTTCAGTTGTTAATTTCAAACTTATGAATAGTTTATTCATAATCTTGTGTCTTTTTAGAAAGAGATTGGGAAGTTTGCTCCACTAGTATCATTTTATGATGCAATCAAAGAATTTTAGCTAAATATCATATCATGTAGCCTCGTGTGCCGATTGGAAATAGTATTAGTGGTAGGAATGCTTATTTGTTGTTTGATTATAGTTCATTGTGATTAATAATTACCTAAGGTCACAAACGTTGAATATAAAGAGAACATGGAACCTTGTTTCTAATAATACAATGTCGATAACAGAGCTTGATGGCTTGCTGCGTGTCGATTAAATACTCCAATATTTACGTCTTACTGTGTAGAAGCTCAAGTTAATTCCTGTTCAACTGTATGTAACTTGCAACACAGCTCTTGAGAGTTGGACCACTGCTGCAGAAGTTGTCTGTTTCTCTGCTGCGTGGCAGGGAACTTTCAGCGAAGAATTTCAAAAGCGGCGTTGGTAACATTCAGTAATACTGTCAGCCACCTTATGTTCTCCTTCAAATCTCACTAGATCAATGTTTTATTCTGCTGGTTCTGTGTGTCATTTAGTATGGGGTAGTGCATTACAGATCATGTTATGCAACCCAGCGTGAAGGTTGACAGATTAATTCAATCGTAAGTGTATTTGGTCAAATATGTGTTAGAACTCTGGTCTCACCTTCAGCACATTAAGATCTATACGCATCACTTCGTAGTTTTAGCTATCTTTATGTTATAAAATTAGGTGAATTGTTGCTACACTGAAGAGTCTCATTTTTATTATCACGTGTGGAAATTCTAAGAAAACTTGATTTATGCAATTCCAGTATTTGTTAAACTGAAAAAAAAGTCTCATGATCGATATAGATTAACTTTCTGTTTATGCCTCTATATTCCATTCTATTTACTGCCGCTAAATAAGCTAACATTTAGTGACCTATTTTTACAATATTAAACTCGTCACTTTGTGTTTTAAATTCATTAATGATATTTTTGTACGTATCTGCCTACTCACGAAGTTGTTGAGTAGGGATTTTGTAGGTGATCATTACCAGTAAGGCATAAAGGTTGCAAAAATACTAATTCCTTAAAATATTTAACAGTTGAACTAAGGAGTATTCTGGACAGTGTTTGCGTTTTTTAAAGTGAGAGACATGTCGGATATCTTATATATGGTTTAGAATGACTACTAATCTTGATGGATTGGATTTCGGAGGGTGTAAGTATGGCTGATGAATGCGAACCATTCCATCTCTAATATTTACTAGATCATTCTTTTTTGTGTAATTCAGAGTTGTGTTTGATTTTGTCGTATATCTGTGAGACACTAGCTTTCTTTGGAAAATACAAAAATCTGCAAACATTTGATCACTACTGTCTGTCAAGTGCCACTCTTGTATGATTAAGATCGGGTTTATTTAAGTTATATGGTCGATGATTTCAGAAACAGACCATTTAGGGAATTCGTTAATGATTGTTTGAGATTTCTATTTAAAGTTTTTTAGTGGTTCGCGTCATACAATGTTAGCTTGAGTAGGTTCAGGCTGAAAGAGGTTAGAGGCTGTCAGACTAAGATATGGCATCAGTCCGTGAAGTCTTTGACTGCTGGTCTGAACCGTGTAGGGAAGTGTAGACTTGCTGACTAGGGTCCTTGTGAAAACCGAAACTGTTGGTTGGAAATTGATTAGAATCGGTCTTGATCGCCCAAATACTTTCAAGGATCATCATCTTAATCGTTCTACTGCATTTTAGTATTGCTTCATTTCTCCGTGGTCTCTTTTCACAACTTCCTATCATCATTGACTGCTCTCTTCATTATCACTGCACTGAGACAAGGTCTCAGCGCATTTTCGCTTAATGTGCTGAAATGAGGCGCGGCAACTTGAACCGCTACCCAGTCATGCCTAGTTCCATATTTGTACTGACCTTACCTGTGTGTTTAGTTATGAAGATTTCAAAATGGTGAAACCAGGACAGGTGCAATATCAGTATGATGTCTGAATGTCGATTCCGCTTATCGAAGTGTAAACAATAAGGATTAAGGTCATCCACATAATCGTAATGCATAGTATGGGTTGAAGCTGTTCCAACTGGCATAATTATGTCAATTCTTCATTAGTGCTTGTTTTCTTTCCGCCAAAATGGTGTTTCGTGACTCAACTAAGCAACTATATGCCTGTAATATCACTTACCTCCCCTATCTTGATGTGCGTACTTCCTTTAATGAAAGTTGAAAAAGATAGAATTAGTTGAAAACGAATAATATGATCTTGATTTATTTCGTTAATTTCTCATCAGCTGCTTACAAACAAACACAAATATTTAATACATCAATGAAATTGGTTAACAGGGAACGATATTCGTATTGGCCAGACCTTCACTTTAGTCACTAGGTTTTTCCCCGGCTGCTGTGTGAATGCGTGACATGTGACTCTCTGTTCATCGTCATGAAATAGATTGCCCAGTCAGGTGGCTAGACTAAGACGGTACCAATGCATGAAGTCTCTGACTGTTGGTCTGAACCATGTGTGGAGGTGTTGCCTAGGTGGCTGATTTCCCTGAGACGATTAGAAACATTTGTTGAGGACTCTTGGTAAAATGGCTGGAAATTAGTCACAATAGCCCAGACGTATTCACTTCTTGACGTCTTCTGAAGTTTGAATAGTTGCACCAACCTTTATCTTTAAATTATTTATTCTCTCATACACCTTTGTTTATTTTGATGTCACTCTTTTTCTATCCACTTATTCCCTGTATGCTACTGTGAATTGTGGTAAATTGAACCGATGTACTTGTACGCAAGGTTCTACGTTGGTTTTATGTGTATATCTAGTCAGGTGTTCTCGTCTCTATCCACATTGAGTTGGATTAGTTAGGAGAAGCGTTGTATCTAGTACCGGTGAGATTATCTGATGTGATATTGATGAATGGACACTTACGTAGTACTTGTTCTCGTAGCTCGTTTATTAGGGCACCAAACCGGTATTCTGGAGGTCAGTATCCTCTTTTGACTCAGGTTTTCATTCCACTTTTATTACTCACCTTGCATCAATATTATTAGTCTATCAAACTGCAGTGCCTAAACGGTCTCACCATTAATTGTATTTCATAGACAGCGAAGTCTAAAAAATGTCTGGGGAAGCGTGGAAGATCCAACAAACAGAGAAGGAAACTGGAATGTAGTCTATAGCAATATTTACTGTATTGGTCACTCTATAATAGTGTGCTACGCAACATTTTCATGAAAATTGGCTGGCAGGATATAAAATCATTCATCTAACTACAAGCTGATCAGTGTAGTCACATTTGAATACAGGAGTCTGTGAAATCTTAGGTGCAACTTTGAAGAAACACATTTCCCGAGAGTATGACATGCACACAGAAAGCCGTTAACAGAAATGTAGAATTAAAAACTCACTAGTAATCACTTTATGAACCGAACCGCTTCGGCAGATTCAAAGTAAGCTTCATTTGAAAATGAAGATTAGCAGCATTAAAGCAAACAACAACATAATAGATAAAGATGAATTAAGTAGACCAAGAGGAAGATACTTGGTCAACCCATTTAAGAACTTAAAGGGCTAACAAGGTGAGAAGTCATTGTGTAGAGTAAGTAGGGGAAATCCATCGAACTTAATTAGATGTTGGAGGTTGACGCAACTAAACGAACTCAAATGTTGGGATAAACAACCGCATTTGACGCGTGATGTGACAAGTTATTACAGAAGTAGGGAATATCTTGATTGGACTTGAAAACGAATCAAAGACTGAAAAAGCCAGTTTTATCACCAGGCTAATCTGAAAAGAAGTCACATATTAGGTACTTTTCTATTGACCAGTTTTCTTGGAGTCATCCTAGTTTGTTTTGATATGGATCTGCGTTGGTGATAATGCCCAGACTCATTAAAAGCATTATCTCTTAAACTGAAGCTCATAAAGCACTCAAACAAATAGAAAATCCACAACCTAATCTTGAGATAGTTATTACTGTATCAGACATACTAGAGATAATATGTATCAAGAAGGTGAATTTTGCAAATATTCCATCTAGTAAAATTATTGTGTTGTGATTCAGTGAATGAATGACTTCAAACTAACGAGATAGAGAGGAACGGGAGTTTCTCTTTCAGTTTTCAAAATGTTTTGCAAATCAGTCGATAGATACGACTTTTCTTTCCATACCATTTGTCTGATATAAGGTCCAACTAGTAGGAGATAGTTACTATATGACCGTCAAGTCTTAAGTACTAACTCAGCACTGATCGATTAAGTTGATCAACTTCGAAAAGTCACCACTGACCTAAGTGAGATGACAGTGTGGCTCACTTCATTGTGGTATTGGATGTTAGGAGTTGATCAGCAAGAAGCCTTGAAAGTACGTTTCATGTACCTAGCGTAGTACTCATATTGTAAACTTCGTTGGCAGTCTTCGGTTAGTGCTGGGGATTTAGGACTTGACAGTCTTATCGTTTAATATTTAGTAACCAACTGGTGTACATGATCGACTCCTACGTTATGAAAGTTTTATCATTAGTTGAGTGAAAATTACTGTCGCTAACTGTGGGTTTGCCAGTTTATTTTGTCCTATCCGAATCCTTGAGAGAAACTGTTTGCCTTTTTTTTTAATGAAGTATCATTAGTTTCCGTTACCTCTTCACTACTTTATTTACTATTTTCGATCACACATTGACATCTCTGATGCCACCCCACTCTTACCTTGGGGTTTACGTCATCCAGTGCAGATTTGACGGTTATTTACATTTCTAGTATCTAATGAATGGCAAGTGCTCTTAGACATCTAGGTGGAAGGTTAGAAAGCTTATTAAAAGAATTCTTTTGGGGGTGCACCACTTATATGTGAGTATAAACTCATCCTCTGTTGGCATTTCTTTGTGCAGTATTTCTACTATGCCCTACA